GATATTTGAGCCTCCCAGCCCGGGCAAACCCTGGCCAGTGAGTGGAAGCTCCAGGGAGGCCGCCTCTGGCTGGAGACAGGGAAGCGCTTTCCAACAATTGTCTGAAAATAGAACGGCGGGCTCACGAGGAAATGAGTCCCCGTCACGGGGAGGGGGCATACAAGAGGGAAGAGTGTCAGGCAGGGAGGGGATCCAAGGCCTCTGACCTGAGAGGCCCCGAGTGCACCAGTCTCCCAGCCCCTGGCATCCCATGTTTCTGGGGATGTCGCCGAGAAGGTAGGGCGGGTGCAGGCACCTTGTTCCAAGCGAGCCACCAGGAGGAAGTGGCTGCTGGGGAAGAGGGCCTCCTCCCCAGGCCTTGGGTGTGTTGGGCAAAGGACTGGCCGGGGGGAGACATTCTGGTCCCATCCAACAATGGTTCCCCTCTCTAGGCCTCAGTTTCCCTGTGTGTTTTATGGGGGTCAGGCAAGCTGCTCTGGGAGGCCTGCCATGTTCTGGTGTCCAGGATTCCCGCTCTGGGACAGGTACGACTGTGGTCCCAGCCAGGAGGATCACTCAAACCCAGGAGTTCGAGCTGCAGTGAGCTGTGACTGTTTCGCCACACTCCAGCCTGCAAGACGGAGCTAGACCGTGTCTCTAAAAAAGAAGAGCAGTCCCCGCACTGAAGACCCCTACACTGAGTGCGACACCTCTAGGACCCAGGCTTGGTGTTGCTTCCGGCTGGGCCGAGGCTACGTTTGCGCTGCCCATGCATGGACTTTAGGGGAGAAGAAAAATGCATTCAACCTTGTTCTAACATTTCCCCATCTTTGAAAAATCACGAAGGTGCCGAACATTTTCATCAATCACAAAGTGCGGGGCAGATCAAAGCTGGGTGCTCCTGGAATGCGGGACCCAGACCCCCTGCCCAGCCCACCTCCACAGAACCCAGAGTTCCAGGGAACATAGTCTGAGAACCAGGACAGAGCAGAGAGGACTGAGGAGCAGGGAATCCTGCGTCCCGATCCCACAGGCCTGGCACCTCTTCCAGATTCCAAGGGTCTCCCTGGAAAGGCTGAGCCGTAGCCAAGAGGAGAGGCTGTTTTCTGTTTTGGTGGCAGGTGGAAGCCCCAAGGCACCTTGTGATCAGTTGGCTTTGCTGGACAGAGGAGGGCAGAGGTCAAGGGTGTGGCCTGGGTGGCCCATGGGTCACAGCCAACACAGGGTGCCAGGCATAGCGTTTCCTCTGGGGACAAAGGGCAAGAGCCTTAGCTCCACCCCGCTTAGGGCTGGTGGGGGCTGGAGGGGGCTGGGTGTTCTGGGGTGGGGCTAGGAGGGGGCTGGGAGGGGCCTGGGGAGACTGTGGGGGCCACGGGGAGCCTGGGCAGGGTGCTAGTTGGGGGGGCACCTCATCCTGAGTGCCCTGTCCAGGGCAGTCCTGATTCTACGCTCTCTGTCTCTGTCTCCCAAATCATCAAAATGTCCCAAATGCTGTCAGGGCGTTACACAGGATTTTGTGCCCTGGTTTGGGCTTGTTCAAGTTTTCTGCAAAGAGCATATACTATGTTTGCAATGAGAAAAATAACCTCATGAAATTTTTTTTTAAAAAAAAACAACAAGAAAAGCAAAGAAATGTCCCAGAAATTCCAACCCATATCCCAATCGCAACAAAGTTCCCAGATGGTGTTTCTTTCACTGAGAAGTCCTGCCACAAACTCACACCAGACCACATATCCTGACCCTTGGCTCAGAAATTACTCAGGGACAAATTCTCCCAGGTTGGGTTGGTCCAGTGTGACTTTCTCAGGCTGAGGAAAGACCAGAGAGGGAGAAGAGAGTCGACTCTCCTGGTGTTTTGACATCAAGGGCAAATCTGTTCTAGGGGGGCTCTACTGTGCAGCTGCAGACAGATGTGGCGGGGCTGGCAGTGCCTCCAGGCTTCCTGCCTCACACTGTGCTTAGTGCTGCCTGCAGGCTGGACCTCAGCGAGGGTCCATGCATGGTGTGGACTTCCTTACTACATGGTGCTGGGGTACCAGAGCAAGAGGCCTGGGAGACAGAGCTGGGCAGAAGCCGTACTGCTGTGTAACACAAACAATAAATACATACACATGTGGTCTTTGTCCTGGGTTCCTGGCACAGGGAATGTCTGCGAACTATTCTATCATAGTGAATTGTCAAACCTGCGTGGGCAGGCCGTGGGAAGCCCACATCGGTCGTCAGCCCCCATCCCGAAGCTATCTAGGTGCCACATCCTGAGTACCTGGGGACCCCATTTGTGGCTGGCATCCAAAGTGAGGACAATCTTGTGGGACCAAGCTCTCAACCTGGGGGTTCTACACCGACTCTGGGAAGTTAGTGTCAGAATTGAATCACAGGACACCCAGTTGGTGTCTGAGACTTGGAGAATTGGTTGCTGTGATAGTTAATTTTATGTGTCAACTTGCCTGGGCTAAGGGATACTCAGATAGATGGTCAACTATTATGTCTGGGTGCATCTGTGAAGGTGTTTCTGGAAGAGATTAACGCGTGAATTGGTGGACTTAGTGAAGAAGATCTGCCCTCCCCCTGTGGTGGGCAGCGTCCCATCCATGGTGGGCCCGCCTGGAACAAATGCAGCAGAAGGGTGAGTGTTTTCTCTCTCCTTGAGCTGGGACGTCCACCCTCCCTGCCCATGGACGTTACAGCTGCCAGTTCTCAGGCCTCTGGATTCCAGGACTTGCACCAGTGTCCCCTCCACGTCCTCCCAGATCTCAGGCTCCAGCCCAAGGCTGAGGTCTCCACCATCAGCTCCGCTGCTTCTCAGGCTCGGACTCAGCTGAGCCACCCACCAGCCTTCCTGGGTCTCCCGCCTGCAGAAGGGCGAGCTGCCTAATCCTGTGAGTCAATTCCTCCTAGTGAACCTCCCCATATACTTCTCTATACATCCTACTGCTTCTGTTTTCCTGGAGAACTCTGACGAATACTGTTGGTGTTTGGAAAAACCAAGCAATTGCCTTTCATGACCTGGCGTGGACGTCCCATGACATCACTTTTATTGTCCTCTGTTGGCCAAGGCTGCCATAAAGGTCTGCCCAGGTTCACAGGGAGAGGACCCAGACCCCGCCCTTGGAGGCGTGGTGAGGTCACACTGCAGTGAGGACAGGAGGGACAGAGAGACTATTACAACCATCTCTGGAAAACGTGACGTGCTGCCATCGTGAAATGGTGACTTGGCTACAGCCAGACTCTGGACCACAGACATCTGGGGACAAGCCCCATAACCAGCTGCTGGACATATGGGCTGTTTCAGTTTGGGGTGATTATGAATGAGGCCAGAGTAAATATTTGTGTACACGTCTTTCATTTAGACCTGATGTCACCTGCGTACACAGATGCAGGCCATTGTTTTGGTTCTCTCATCCCCCTTAACAAGGAGACAAAGCTGTCACTGAGTGCTCCACGGGAGTCTAATGAACGCGTGTGAAGCACTGACCCAGTGACCGGCACAGAAAAGCAACGCAATGTTGGCCGCTATTAGTCTCCAGGCTGCTGTTGTTGGGGATGAGGGGCAGGATGGCTGTCACACTGTGACTTGCATTTTCCTGGAGTAGGTGTTTCAACCACAGCACTTGATTGGGCAGTTCTTTGTTGTTGGGGCTGTCCTGGGCATTGCACTGTGTTCAGCCGCATCCCTGGCCTCCACCTACTACCACATGCCGGTAGCAACTCCCTGCAAAGAAAATAAAAATTATTCAATGATGCTCGTTAAAGATGGGAAGGCAGACTTCACTCAGGGGGGGGTCTATCTCAGTAGGTACACAGGGGACTAATGCAGTGGGGTTTTGTAGTGAGGGGGAGAGATCAGGCTCAACTCTACCCCGAACACAGCATGAGCAAGTAGAATTCACAGCCTAGGAGCAGGTGGGGAGCAGTGGATGGAAAATGGCCAAGAGGAAACATCTGGGGCCAGGTGGAGTTCTGGCTGAACTGACCTAACAGGACCCTTGCTGAAGGCAGGCTGGGGTGACCAGACACCACCCCGGGGTGGAGGGTATCTCGGGCATCCAGGCTGCTGTAACAAAGTACTTTAAACTGGGTAATTTATAAACAAAAGAAGTTTATTGCTTACAGTCCTGGAGGCTGGGAAGTCCAAGATCAAGGTGCCAGCAGATTTGTTGCCGGGTAAGGGCCTGTTTTTTGTAGGTTGCACCTTCTTACTGAACCCTCACGTGGCGGGATGGGGAAAGAGGCTGTGTCAAAACCTACTTTTTTTAGAGATAAGGTCTTGCTCTGTCACCCAGGCTGGAGTACAGTGGCACAATCATAGCTCACTGTAACCTCAAACTCCTGGGCTCAAGAGATCCTCCTGCCTCAGCCTCCCAGAGTGCTAAGATTCAGGCATGAGCCACTGTGCTTGGCCATAAATTTTATTTTTTATTGTGGTAAAATACACATAATGTAAAATTTACCATTTTAATCATTTTTAAGTGTCTGGTTCAGTGGCATTTAGCACATTCATATTGTTGTACAACCATCACCAATTTCCATCTCCAAAATGTCTGTCCCAGCAGACACCCTGGGATCGCCGCGGAAGACGCGGCCTCGGCTGGCGTGTGGCCCGCGCAGCGTGGGGCGCAGGCACGGGTGCCCCCGGTGAGCCCAGCACGCGGCCCCTCCCGACACCTGCGTAGTCCCAAGCCCAGGTGCAGGTTTCGCGTCTTTACAGGTGCGCGCGGCGGGCACCGGCCCCGCCCGGCCGGGAAGGGGCGGAGCCCAGCCGAGGGGCGGGGCGGGGGCGAGACCGCACAGAGGGCGTGGCCGGCGGCGGTGGGACGGGCGCGGCGGAGGCGGGGAGGGGGCGTGACCGACATGGCCTGCCGGGTGGGCGGGGCGTGGACCGGGGGCGGGGCATGGCTGGCGGCGTGGGCGTGACGGGCCGGCGGTGAGGGCGTGGCCCCAGGCGTGGGCGTGGCGTTGCCGGGGGCGGGGGCGGGGCCGGCGTGACGCGCGCCGACGCGATCCCGGAAGCGGAGTCAGATGCTGGGGAGCCCGGCGGGCGCGCTGGCGGGCGGGGGGACTTGTTGTTCTTCGCGAAGTCGGAGCCCGAGCGCCAGGCGGCGGCGGCGGCCCAGGAGTAGCGCGAAGGTGAGCGCGAGCGCGAGGAAAGCGAGTGCCCGCGAGGAGCCGCCGCGCGCGCCCGCGCCCCACGCGCGACGCCAGGTGAGCAGCGGTCCGCCTGGGCCGGGGCCGCGGGGCCGCTGAGTCACGGCCGCCTGGGCGCGGGGCCGGGCGGGGTCGGCCCGCCTGGGACCCCCGCCCCCCGCCGCGTACCTGCCCAGGTGGGCCGCGCCGGGGTTCTCTCGCCCCGCCCCTGAACGTGCGGCGCGGCCCGCCAGCCACCCACCCCAGACCCGCGGCTGGGAGTGCGGGGCGCGGCGCCACGTGCGGGGAGCGCGAAGGAGCTCGGGCCATCTGCACCTCGCCGCTTCCGCCCCGCGTTTCCGCGGCGGAGCCGGGCCTGCCCTCCTGCGTCCCGCCGTGACGGGCGCCGCTCCCGCCGAGGGCAGGGTCCACGGTGCGCCACGGGACGAGCGGGTTCGCGCGGCCTCCTCGGAGGCGAGGGGCCGGGGTCAGGGTCCTGCGTCCCGCGGGGCCGAGCTGCGCGGGCACCGGAAGCCGTGGGTGGGGAGGCGGCAGGTGACAGTCTTGGCGGTCCGTGTCACTTGGCTCACGTGCGGCCAGGGTGAGGGCTCCTCCAGCTCTGACCGTGTCGTTTCTCTGAGCTCTGTCAAGTTCAGGAAACGCGCGAGGTGTGTTTCTGCACAGTCTCTGGAGCCAGGGGAGGGACCACTCGTGCTCCTGGCTCTGACTTGAGTCCACTTTGGGAGAAGGAGGTGGTCCTGCCCTGCCCACGTGTCGCAGGGTCTTCTGAGAACTGCCAGACTCCCCCAGTCCGTGGAGCAGCCTCTTTGTGTCTCTGTTAATGATTAGGGTGGTGCTTACTCTCCACGCACTCTTGTAGCCCAGGCAGAATCGGATCCACTAACCATTCATTCTGCGATGGACCGACAGACAACCCCTCCGTTCTGCCAGGCCCCTGGCTGCAGGATGCTCCAGAGGCATGAAACTGCCACATGACATGCCTGATAGAAATTGGTGGGCTCTGGCTTAGGCTTAGCTCTCCCCTCCCCTTTGGTTGACCAGTTTGGGCTTTGGGAATCTCTCGACTGGGGAGGCTTTGCTGTGACAGCAGCGCTGCAAAGCTATCTCCATACCGTGCAGGCCTGGGCTGCGGTGCCTCTGGAGCTGTGCTCAGCAAGCCCAGTGTTTCCACGGACGTGGAACTTTAGAAAAGGTGTTAGTCTAAGCAGGTGGGTGGGGTCTGGAAAGGTGTAGGTGGGCTGTGCAGGTGCGTCGGACACAGCTACAGCCCATTACGTTGTGGGCATCCAACACTATTTATGAGAACTTCCCTCCTTAGGTAACCCAATAGGAATGTCTGGGAGTTTGACCTTTTAGAGGGAGTCAACTTTTATAACTTAAAATGAGACCTCTCATTATTCCAGAATAAAACATTTATTAAAGCGAAAACCAAACCCAGCTTCTCTGGAGCACAGTTACCATTTGTACTTGAACTTAGCCTGGGCTTGGAGGGACTGGTTCCAAGTTTAGTACTGTTTACTCCCCAGGTGGTTGCTAGAATCAGGAGTTGGAAGAGGGGACTTGTGGAAGGCGGCTCCTACGAGGGTCCAGCCCTTTCTCCAGCCCCCGAGAGGCCGCTGTTGAGTAAGACGTTTGCCTGGCCATTCCTTGTCCTCTGAGGTGTGTGCTTTCGGTCTCGGGAATCCGTGACGGTCCCGGAGGGTTTGTTTACAGTCTCAGAGCTGTTTGCCATCCGGCCCTAGAAGAAGTTATGCCTGTTTCTGTCCCAGTCGTTTCTGAGTCTAAAGGTTTCAGGAGTGGACTTTCTGGGTTTCGGGTCCAGTCCACACGGGAAATGGAAATCCGGCCAGCTGGGAGAATTCTCTGTGTGGCTCCTCGGAGCAGTAAACAGTGACTCACCGCTCTGCTCCCCACCCTCCCTGTTCCCTGCGAGTGGAAGATGCGTCGCTCCGGTATTTACTTTTGCTTTTTATAAGTCACAGACTTGTCATGTTTCCGCTTTCTTACAGTTTCAGGGAATTGAAAGTGTCACCTTAAAATCGTAGAATTTCAGAGCAGGTGGAAAACCTGAGTGGTCACACAGTCCACCCTGACTGCCCGTGTTACGTGGGGAAACTGAGGTCCTAAGGGTTCACTCACCAGGCCTGAGGTTGCAGAGGTAGTGGCTGGAAGTCAGGGTCTGGCCCAGCGCCTGCCGTCTAGCGAGGTGCTGGGGTGGGAGTGGCTCTCCCGCCCCCCACCCAGCTTCCCCCACCCCAGTGCTGGACTGGCTTCTGTGTTAGGCAGCAGGAGCCGGTGTAGGGAAGACACATTCCCTGCTTGCCAGGAGCTCACCATGCAGTGAGGTGCCACCTGTCCACAGAAGGATCTAGAATCAGGTCTTGGTAGAGGGCACTTGCTTTCCACAAGAAGGACATGCCCAGCATAGAAGCCTGGAATGGCAACAGGGGGCAGGGAAGAGTGGCTCAGGAGGGACTGAGACTTCCGCCCACCTGTGGGGCCAAGATTGAGGCACCAAGACCAGAGTGAGGGCATCTGGTTCGGCCAAAGCTGTGGTCCAGACAGGAGAAGCTGGATGAGTGGACGAGACGGAGAGATGAGGGCTTGGGGTGATGGTGCGTGAGTGGTGTAGCGGGAGGTGATGGTCACCTGAGTTCCAGACTCAGAGGGAAGGATGGGGAGTGTCTGGGTCTCTGGGCTTTTCCAGGGGATGTCCCTGCTGGATGTGGAGGCTGGAGCTGGGGGTAGAACAGAGCCCTTAGCCCTGATGGGAGCCTCAGGCAGAGGGACCACTTAGCGAGCTGGGGCATGGGGAGGGGTGGGGTGGAAGAACCAGGGTGGGGTGCTGGGAGTTGCGGGGTGTGATCTGCAGCTTGCTGTCAGCCACAGCAGCTGCCTGAGTCACCTCTGGATGTAGCTGGGATGACACAGCTTCCTCGGACTGCAAATGCAAGGTGACCAGACGTCCTCCAAGCAGGGCAGACAGTTGTAGCTTCCCGGAGGGTGGCTGGCCAGGGCCAGGCTGCAGGCTGGTGTGGCCCGGGCTGGGGGGTGTCCAGTGGGGTGCTGTAGGATGCATCCTGCACACTGAGGGGCCACATCCAGGGGTGGGAGGGGCGGTGGGGAGCCTTCCTGGTCTGGGACATCTCCTCAGTAGGATGAGTCATCGGCCCTTCTTGGGGACCAGTTTGGGAGTGCCCTCTGGGTACCAGTGCCACCTCGGCCCCACCCACCTTCCGGGCCCAAAGGAGGGGCACCTGGTTTGTGTCCCTTGTCAAAAGCCTCCCAGCAGAAGCAGCCATGTCCTTGGCGGTTTCTGGTTTTGTGGATTTGCATCCGTGACAGGAGTTGCTGCGAGGAGGGCAGTTGCTGCCTCGCTACCTGGATTTTTTTTTTTTTTTTGAGACAGAGTGTCACTCTTTTGCCCGGGCTAGAGTGAGTGCCATGGCGTCAGCCTAGCTCACAGCAACCTCAAAGTCCTGGGCTCAAGCAATCCTCCTGCCTCAGCCTCCCGAGTAGCTGGGACTACAGGCATGCGCCACCATGCCCGGCTAATTTTTTTCTATATGTTTTTAGTTGTCCGATTAATTTCTTTCTATTTTTAGTAGAGACGGGGTCTCGCTCTTGCTCAGGCTGGTTTCGAACTCCTGAGCTCAAACAATCCGCCCGCCTCAGCCTCCCAGAGTGCTAGGATTACAGGCGTGAGCCACCGCGCCCGGCCGCTGCCTGGATTTTTGAACCTGCTCCTGTTGGACAGAACTTCCGTCTTCCTCCCACCACTGCTCCATTTTCCCGTATCTGACGTCACCTGTGGGAACAGGAGTGGGAAGGGGTGCTCCCGGGAGGGCTAGAGGTGGTGGGGATGTGGCGTCACAGTCCCCAAGAACTGGTGCCTCAAGGGGAGCCCACCTGTGCTAGCTTCAGAGGATGGGATGGGTGGTCTGGGTCAGTCACTTACCTAGGAGGGAATTAGAGCCCTTTGAAACTGTGAGATCTCCTCTCTCCTGGGTAATCCATCCCTGCAGCATCCACGTGGGCTCTGGCCAGCTCCGCACCTGTCTTTGTGCAGAAGAGGTCCCCTCCTGGGCCCAGAAGGGTCTTTCTTGTTGTGTGCCAGCACATGGAGAGATGTTGGAGGCTGTAAACGCCCCAATGAGCTCAGTCAGAACAGCAGGTGACAGGGAATATTTGGTGGGATTTAAAAAGGGAAAAACAAGCCTCTGGCTCACCTGCCTTGTGAAAGGGCGATTTCTGGATTGTTGACGCCAGCTACATGCCCTGCCCTCCGGGGTGCCCAGGCACCGGATTCTGAGTTCCTGCCACGCCCTCCCTGGGCAGAGCAGCCCTGCCCTGTGCCTCATGGGCCCTGCGCCTTGTGGGCCCCGGCAGCACCGGCTCCCAGGTTTCTCCCACACGGCGGATGCAGAGTTGACTCCATGAGGCTGCTGGTGTGTGTGCTGCCTGTTCTAGAGGAAATGGTTTTCTTATTGAGCCTTGTTTAGAGGGACATCCCATTGACGTTTCTGGCTTTGGGCTGAAAACCCTATGTCTTCAATTAGAAAAACAGTCACTTAGTGGGTGTTCCAAGTTACAGGTGCTGACTGAGGCCACTCCGGGGCAGCGTGTGTTCAGGGATGCGGGACATGACGCTGTTGTCTCATGCAGATCGGTGACTGTGCACCGCAGAGATTCAGACCAGCTATTGCAGGATCCCAGCCTTGGCACTGGCCGCTAAACCTCTCTGGTGACTTTACTGAAATTCAGGGGACCTCATAGGGCATTGGGTCCCATGAAAGGCCTCGCTGAGCTCTGTTCATTGATGGGTGAGGCGTGTGCCAAGTGGGCTCTGTGGAGCCGACTGGCTGCCAGGGCAGCAGTGCTCTCTGGGCGCACAGGAGCTGGGAGGCACCTTCTCGGGTGTTCTGTGACAGAGGTGTGCGCTGCTGCCCTCGGCCTTCTAAGGCTGCTTCTCCAGCTCAGCTTGGAGCAGGGTCCTTTGTGGGCACTCTGGTGGCATCGAGGTTGCCGGATGTCTGGCGATTTATAAAACTCCTTTTAAAGCAGCTGTTTTTAAATGAGTTGCTTTACAAACTTTCTCACATATGCAAAACTCTTCTCTGAATCTCTTTCCAAAAGCAAGCTATCATTTTTCTTGCCTTTGGTATTGGAAGCGACTTTAGGTCAGGACCACGTGGGTTCATGTTGTGTGTTTTGGGTAGAGGTTAGTGCCCGTGTCCACCTTTCCACGCACTGAGTTCACAGAAGCAGCACCGTGCCCGGCCTGCCCTCTGCAGCTGGCACCAGCCTGAAGGGTGGGACCCTGGTCTGGGACATCTGGGCCCCAACTTGGCTGGGGCCGTCCTGCCTCACCTTTCTGAGCTTACAGGTGTCTGGTTCTCGGGCTGTGGTGCAGGTGCACCTGGGCACTGGGGGCATGGGGGAGCGCAGGCATCGTCCAGCAGCCCCAAGTGCCCAGTGACCTTAAGCTCGTGAAAGTGGTCAGCTGACCCTCAATGGGGTCACCTGGGGGGCCTGAGCCCTGTCCTAGCTTCCTGGTCACCTCGGTGTCCCACATCCTTAATGAAAAGATCCCTGCACTGAACTTTGCCCTGGGTGTCCAGCCAAGCTCAGGATGTCACCCGTGGGTCCGGCCAGCGGGCCCCTTCACTGGACCTCCCTTTTCCGCTCAGCTTTGCAAGGCAGGCGGTGGCCCCATGGGCCCCAGGGAGCGGGTCCTCGCTGGGTGGGAGGGGCCTGGGGTGTGTGGGAATGTGAGCTCCGGCTCTGTAAACAGCTGGTGACTCACCGCATAGCTATGTCACTGGCCGCTGGGCCCTGTGCACTGACGTGCTCTGAGTGTGAGCTGGAAGAGCCCACGGCCCTCCCTTTCCGACACAGAGACCTTCTGCTGCTCCGAGGCCTGCCTCGCCAGGCCTTCGCGGGTGTCAGGAGCCGGCCAAGGCCCAGCCCCCCAAGTGTCGGCTTCACCCCAGCCTAGGGTGGGAGGGTCAGGCCCATGGGGCACTTGCTTGTTGGGTCCCTCCCAAATGACGGGGTTCACTGCAGCTCTCTCCCTCCCTGTGAGGGTCACCCCAGACCACTGCTTGCTGCCCCTCAGGGTCCCTGTGGAGAGTGCCCGGTCCCTCCTGCCCAGGAGCCCAGAGCCCACCAGAGGCCTTCCCCGGAGTCCTGCTCTGCCGCCAGTGCCGCGAGAGGGCAGGGACCCTGTCTTCGTTTGTAGTCCTTTGGTCGTGGGCAGTGAGAGGGCTTTGGGGACACAGCCCAGGGGCCCCCAGCAGAGGCAGGGCCAGAGGGCGGGGAGGTCCAGGCTAGTGCTCACCAGCGCAGGCCCTGGGTCCTGGGTGTGCAGCGGGTGCAGTTGCGCTGGGGGAGACGCTTCGCTGAGGGCTGCCTTCCGGACCTGAGGACCCCTCTCCGCGTGTTTCTCTGATGTCCCCTCTGCTTGGCTCATCTCGTCCTGCATTTGGAGTGTGGGAAGTGGGCGGTGGGGGTGGTGTGGACCCACCCACGACCATCTGGTGTCCTCTGCAGCCCCTTCCCCGTGAGCGGGGGCACCTGTGTTTGTTTACTGCCTGATGCCTGGTGATGTCTGCGAACAGGCCTGACCCAAAGTCCTCATTGCTTTTGGGCTTCTCCGTTTCCATGACGACCGTGGGGGGGCTGGCCACTTCCCAAGGTCGCCATGGCAACTATCAGAGGGGAATCATGCTTGGGATGGTTTGGCTGGGTTTTTCATGAATGATTAGAATGTGTGACACAATGCAGACGGAGACTGGGCAGGGCGGGCGCCGCGGGCGGGGGTGGCGGGGACAGCTCCCGCCAGATAGCCCGTTAGCTGGTGAGGCGGTGGCGGCTCCCCACCTCTGGCCACGGCCTCTAGACCTCCTGTCCCCCAGGAGCCCCCGCCCACCCCTCAGGCCGCAGGGTCCTGGTGCGGGGGCTGCTTTCGTGGAGGTGGTGATGTCACAGCTGCAGTGCCCTTGGCCGTGGTAGGTGTCCCTCGGGCTGCAGAGAGGGTGGGGCTGGGGGGCGGCAGGTGCTCTGCCCGATCTTTGGGGGTGAGGCTCTGTGAGGGCAGGGGCTCCCCTCTCAGAAGCCAGCTGGGTGTGGAGTGACAGGCACTCTGCCAGGCAGGGCCACCATCCAGCAGGGCCAGCTGTGCCCCTAGGTGCTGAGCAGGCTGTTCCTGGGAGGCCTCGCTGCTGGACGCTTGGATATCCAGGACAGAGCACCTTGAGCCTCTCGGGTACAGGTGTCTCATCTGAGTTCAGGAGGGGACTCACAGGAGGAAGCAACAATTGCTGACACCTGGCGTCCACCCTGCAGCCCTTGCAGCTCCAGCATGGAGGAGGGCAGCAAGGGGCAGCGTGTGGCTGCCAGGCCCTGGGCGGGGGCCGAGCTGCTTTGTGGGCCCACGCTGATGCTGGAGTGAGGTGTGTCCAGGAGCCCCTCGCAGGGCTGCGGTATGGCAATGCCCTGTCTTGTTTTCCGGGTGCTGTGACCGGACGGCACCGGCTGAGGCGCTGAGTCTCCTTGTGGCATCCCTGCTGAGAGAGGAGCCACCGGTCCCCAGCCTGCCAGTACCTAACCGCGCTCGCTTCCGTGTGCTCTTTTGTGTCTTTCTAGTTACGATTTCCAAGCAGTTCCGTCCTGGTGACCGTATCCAGGTTATGACGACTAATCCCAAACCGAACAAGGCATTAAAGGTAAGGCGCTGGGCGGCTGCTCTGGGCAGAGCTGTCACTGTCCCAGACACAGGCCTGGGAAAGGTTCTCCCAACCCTGGAGCCGCTTCCTTCCCAGGCTGCCCTCAGGGTGTGACAAGGGCCTCCCTGTCACCAGGACTGGGAGGCACTTTCGGCTAGGAGGTGTCAGTGGGAGAGGGGGGTGACAGAAGTGAGAACTCTGGCCCTGGGAGACCCTGGCCCTGACGTCCAGGGAGATGACAGGCTGGAGGGGTGGCAGGTTGGGTGCCTGCCTGCTGGGGCTGCATCCGCGAGTCCCCAGGCCCTGTTTCTGCCCAACCTTGTTACCTGGCATTGGGTGGCAGTGTGGCCTCTGGTGACTGGGGCTCTCTGGTTCTGTCTGTGCTGGTGCTTGCTGCCTCCTGGCCCTGTCGGTGTTGCTGGCAGCACAGGACACACTTGTGGACAGTAACCAGGGTTGACCGACATCACTGCCGCCCTCCTACGGGGACAGCCCTAAAGTCTACCCTGTTCCAAGAGGGTCGTGTGATGGTGGCAGATGTCCCAGGGGCCACCTGGGGCATGATGTCAGGCAGCGTGCAGAAGGTCAAAGCCAAGGCTTTCTGCCCTGGACGCCGGGCTCCTGACTACCGTGTTGGGCGTCCCCACGGCTGGTGAGCCATCCCCAGACCTGGCCCTCCCCGTGGTAACCAGCTCTCTGGCCCGCAGGTCAAGAAGGAGGCGGGCGAGAACGCCCCGGTGCTCAGCGATGATGAGCTGGTGTCCATGTCGGTGCGCGAGCTGAACCAGCACCTGCGGGGCCTCACCAAGGAGGAGGTGACCCGCCTGAAGCAGCGCCGGCGCACGCTCAAGAACCGCGGCTACGCGGCTAGCTGCCGCATCAAGCGGGTGACGCAGAAGGAGGAGCTGGAGCGGCAGCGCGTGGAGCTGCAGCAGGAGGTGGAGAAGCTGGCGCGCGAGAACAGCAGCATGCGGCTGGAGCTGGACGCCCTGCGCTCCAAGTACGAGGCCCTGCAGACCTTCGCACGCACCGTGGCCCGCGGGCCCGTCGCGCCCACCAAGGTGGCCACCACCAGCGTCATCACCATCGTGAAGTCCGCGGAGATCGCCCCCTCCGTGCCCTTCTCTGCCGCGTCCTAGTGCCTGCTGGGGCTGTGTGGGGGGCAGTGGGCAGGCGCCTCCCGCGTGCCTGTCAGAGGGTCCTTGGAACCCAGACTGTCAACATCCAAGTCAAAGTGTGGTCCCCCCCACCCCCCCGCCCAAGTTCACGGCAGCTCGCGCCAGGTCGAGGTTGCAGGTGCAGGATGTGGAGCAGGCTCTGGGGACCCCCTGCCACATGCCACCCACACTCATGCGCACACGCGTGCACACACACTCACACGCCCTGCACCTTCTCCCCGGCGTATGTGTCTGGTTTTGGGAGTTGGTGTCTTGCACCCACGGGAGTTAGGATGTACGGCGGGAAAGTCCTGGGAAGGAAGGTGCTGATGTCCCCTGCAGGGGCTGCCAGAAGCAGCAGCTGCCCCTGCGGCCTAGCTGGTGGGGGCTTGTCTTCCACGCCCTGTGGGCCGCCCCGCTGCCCTGACCGAGCTCTGGCTGCCCCGAGAGGGGAGTGGATGGAAGGCGATTGGCCCATTGGTCTTCCAGCCATCCCTGTTGAGATGCACTGTGACATACTTCAGCCCTGAGCACGCGGCCTCTGCCACTCTGGCACGGATGGGAGGGCTGCCCGCGCGGGCTGGTGTGTGTGTATGTGTGTATGCACAGGTGCACACGTGTGCACCTGCATGTATGTGTACAGGCCTGCCTGCTACACTGCACCCGTGTGCCGGCAGCTCGGGGGGGCTTGGAAGAGCAGCTGGTCACGTGGGGAGGGCCTATGGGTACGTGGGCGGGGGAGGTGTATGTATGTTGTCGTCCTGTGTCGCCTGTGTAGGTGCAGTAGCCACCTGCCCACAGGAGCCAGCCCACTCGGTCACGACCCCGTGGGCCATTCCTGGGTCTCAGTGCAGACAGGCAGGTCTCAGGCCGTTTTCCCTGGAGCTGCCTCTTGCCAGCTGTGGTGGGCACAGGGGAGAGTATGAGGGTCTTTCTGTGGCCTAGGGGGGCAGGGCTGCTGCGGCCCAGGTGGGGGCTGTGGCCTGAGGGATGCCGGTGGATGTAGAGGTGGCAGGGGGACGTCCTGTGTGGAGTGGGGGAGGAGGTGGGAGCAGTGTCCAGGAACATGAGAGGTGGGCTTGGGACGCAGGGAGGGTCCAAGGGCGTGAAGGGAGGGGAGGGGCCGGACACTGGGCCAGGAGTGCCTTGGCAGCTCTGGCAGGAGGCAGGTTCTGCCACCTTGTGCCTTCTTCCTGGAGCTCGCAGTGGCTGTGTCTCGGCCGTCCTTGGGCTTCCTTTCCCAGGGAGCCCTGAGGGCTCCTGTGCCTGTGCATGCGAGCGGGTGGTGGGCCTGGGGCCCCCGCCTGGAGTGAGCCGGCGAGATGGCGCCCCAGCCACTAGCCAGAAGCCGAGGTGATGCCAGGACCCGGCCCCTGGTTCCCTCTGAGCCACGCCCACCCAGGGAGACCCCAGCAAGTGGCACCGCCCCCCGTGGGGTGTGAGCTGGGCAGGAGGGCAGAGGACGGGCAGCCCCAGGGCTGCGACACGATTCTGTCTGCTGTTAGAGTGACCAGGAAGCCGCAGGCCCAGCCGGCGCCAGGGCACACTGGGCCCTGCTGGTGCAGAAGGCCAGTGTTCAGATAAAAGGTGGTGACGCCACAGCCATGGCAGGTAATCCATATTGGATATCGATACGGACCATGGGGAATATTTAAAGAGAGAAAGATAAAATATATATATATATATAAAATTATATACACATTTTATCGTATAGATTTTTCGTAGCGATTTTCCTTTTCCAGTTTGATACTGTAAATCTTTATTAGAGCAGAGCTGAGGTGGACGTTGGACCGGCGGGAGCGGGGGCGGGTCGCCTCCCTCCTGGCTTCTCAGAGGGAGGCCGGTGCCCGCTGCCTCCCCTCGTCCTCCGCGGCTGCACCGGCCCCGCACCGGCAGGTGTCGTGCTCGGAGCCGCAGTGGGTTGCAGGTTCTCTCCAGTCTTGGGGTTCTTGGTGTCCCTGTCTTGTGGGATGTGGGCAGGTGGGGGACCATCGGCCATGGGCTGGGGAGCAGACGCCCCACCCTCGGCTCCGCCCACTTGAGATGACGCGTTCTGCTCTTTTCTGATCATTGAGATTTCATTGTCATGATTTAATATATGGATTTTTTTTTTTTATTTAAGAAAAAAGACAAGGACCTCTTTGTCGTGTGGGTTTGTTTTCTGTCTCTGTGCCTCAGGCTTCCAAAGAAGGCAGGTCTTTGCTTCTCCCAAGGTGGTCGGGACCCTCCGTTTCCCGCATCTTCACCCAGTTTCTCCTGCCTCTGTGCTACTCGGCGGTTTCATTTCAATATTTATTTTTGTGCTGCTTTTTACGTGATATAAATTATTGAGGAGAGATCACATGTGTGGACCCTCGCCTGGCGCAGGCCCCCACTCGCAACCCTGCCCTGTCCCCATGTCGCGGCTGCCACCTGATTTACTGCTGTACATCTTGCTGCTGTGACTGCTTTTGTACCTTTGCAATAAAGATTTTTCTGGTTTCAGATCCTTCTCGTTGCAATGTTGGTCCTTTGGGCTGGGGCTTTCTCGGGCTAAGAACCCCCGTCTTGGGGGCTGCTGGGGTGTGCTGGGCCCCTGCATGTCCCCTTATGTCACCTGGAGAGGCGGCTCAGGGTGGGTTTCCAGCACTTGTGACTGTGATGCCGGGATAGCCGTGGGAGCGGGGTCGGCCGGGCAAGACGCAGGTGGCTGTTGCCGCCTCCGCATCCTGGGCTCACTTTGCACGGCAGCGGGTTCCTGAGTGTCCCTACCTGCTCTATCCAGAAGCCTCCTGTCCACTGATGTGGCCTCTCCTTTCCCGCTGGGTTTCCCGGGCAGATGTGGGGGCCGGCATCCCCTGACTGCTTTGTCTGGGGGGCTCTGAGGTGAGCCCTCAGGAAGTGAGAGACACAGTATGTTGGGGAGCAGAGAGCAGAGCTTCGAACAGTGGCCTAAGTGGTGGCCCCTTCTGAAAAGCCAGGGCCTGTCTTGACCCGTGCTGTCCCTGCTAGCCCTCATGGTGAGCACCCCCACCCCACTGTCCCTGTCCTCAGACCTGGGTTCACCGGGGCAGGAATGCACTTTGGTGCCAGACCACTTGGGCTGAAATCCAACTCTGTGCATGACCTTGGGCCGGTTCCTTTCCTCTCTGAGCCACAAGTTCCCATCTGCGTGAGCAGTGATGTGCACAAAAAGGCGTCTCGGCAGAGTGGGGTTTGAGTCTGTGCTGGGGCCGCTGTGCCCCGAGCTTGTGACACCAGCAATGGCAATGACAGGTGTTTTCGCAGCTAAGCCAGACGTCCCTGCAGCCAACCCTGGGGACCTGGTCCCAGCCTGCCCTTTGAGGGGAGCTGTGGGCACAGAACCCCTGCCCGGCCTTGGGCTCCTGGAGGCTGTGGGCAGGCAGGGGCGTGTTGCAGGAGACCCTGCCCTGGCCAGCTACCCAGCTGCCGCAAGTTCCGGCTGGGGCCCCTCAGGGCTTTTGCCCTTGTGTGTGGATTGCCGGGGATTTTCTGCTGGGCCATTTCACAGACGAGGCCAAGAGAGGTTACACCACTTGGCAGGAGCACGGAGCCTGCTCCTCAGCCCGTGGGTGGAGCCTGGGGAGCTCCTTCCTCATCAGCTGTGCTCTCCAGCCCTCCTCTCTCGCATGCACCCACAGCCCCTGGGGGAGGCGAGGCGGCAGCCTGGACCGCCCCGCAGCCGTATTCTATCCGCACATGGCAGGAGCATTGGGTGTCGCACTCAGCCTGCACAGCTTTGGTGTAATGTTAGAAAGAAGGCAGCAAGGCCTTGTCCACAGGGCACAGGTGTCTGGCAGGGTGGAGAGAGTGGGCCTGTGGAGACAGCCCCTCCCCGCCCCCTGTGGTGTCGAAGTCCCTGGGCTGTGACCTCAGGCAACTTGCTGGACCTCTCAGCTAGGCCACCTTCCCGGCTGCCCTGAGAGCCGAGCGCATGTCGGGTTCCTGGCTCGGTCCTCGGCGCACACAGTGGACAGTCAGTCGATGCCAACTTCTCCCCTCCCCAAAGCACGGGCCTGAGGCACCATCCTACAAATGAGGCTGTCCTGTGGCATCTCAGTCCCTGCAGCCTGGAGCCCACGTGGCATCCGGGCTTCCAGAAGGGCCTTTGTGTTCTTGCCCTCTAGGCAGCTCAGGCCCCAAAGGGGTGGCCCTCTCCAGGGCAGAGAAAGAGCAGGCCCGGGGTTTGGCCAGGCCCCCATCCCCTAGCTCAGGAGCGCAGCCCGGCCTCCTGCTCCCCCACAGCCTCCAGAACACCTCCTCCTCAGCAGGTCTCACGGAGCACCCAGTCCCAAACCCGCTGATGAGCGGAGACTCGGAGACTCGGGCCTGGCCATGGGGCCCCTATATCTCCGCCAGCTGCAGAGGGCCCGATAAGGCGGGTGGCAGTCTTCCCACCCCAGCATGGGGAGGGGCTTGGCCTGTCTTATCAGACACCCGAGCTGGGCCCTGCAGAGGCCACAGACTCTAGTGCCCTGTGTCCTCAGGCCAGGGAGTGGCCCACACTGCCTCTCAGAGATCCTGGGTTCCTTTCTGCCTTTCCTGGGACCATGGGAGTGGGCGGCCAGGTATCAGGGGAGGGAGCTGCGGCCATATGGTGCCTGCCCGGCCTTCCTGTCTGCTGTGCCTGCTGGCTGGTGGGCCGCTCCCCACACCTAGCCCCAAAGCCCCAGGCCCTGTGTCTGCACCTGCCCCAGCCCCAGCCCCACCACCGTGTTGCAGCCAGACACGCAGGACTGCCAAGATGCACACGGGGACACCACATGAGCTGACGCCCCCTCCCCCCAGTGGCCTCCACCCCTGGGCCCAGCCACGTTCCTCCAGGAAGCCCTGCACCCCCGGGCTGCTCCCTGCCCGCCGGCCTCCTGAGGCAGGGCCTGTCCCCACTCAGCCCTCCCAGAACCTAGACCTGCTGGGCACACGGAGGAAGAAGAGGAGGAAGGGAAGAGGGCAGGTGCCCCTCTGTGCCCCTGGCTCTCTGGGCTGTGCCCACGTGGTCTTGTCCACCTGCCGCGTGGGGCTGGCGTGAGGCCCATGTTACGAGGAAGCTGAGGCTCTGAAGACAAGAGGCGGCTGCTCTGGCCTCGTGGGTGGCACAGCCTCGGGCATCGGGTCTCGAAGTCCCAGCTCTGTGTCCTGTGCAGCTCAGAGCAACAGCTGGCCTCCCCCAGCCCCACTCAGGTCAGGGGGCCTTCTCTGACCACTCCCCGGTGGCCCACTGTGGTCCACTGCCCAGGGCACTGGCCCTGCAGGGTCGGAAGCCAAGCAAATCATTAGAAAATCCAAGGTGTTTATATAAATAAGAGCAACTCCTGGGAGGCAGCGAGTGCTGGCAGGCCTGGTACATACCTCCCGACCCGCACCAGGCACACCTCCCCAGGGGGGCCTTGCAGGGCTATCCCTCAGCTGGAGTGGGGTGGGCAGCGTGGGCTCCTCCCGCAAGCCCACGATCACACCAAGGCTCAGCTGGCATCACCCCTGCCCCGGCCAGCCTGTGTGGACCCCCAGCCTGCGGTGCCCAAACTGTGTGCTGCCTTGCACCGGGCTGCCCAGCTCTGCCCCGCCGTCCTCCCCACAGCTGCACAGCTGGGGTCTGTCCTTCGTCTGCCTGCTCAAGCCGCATGGAACCAGGCGGCCCTGCAGCTCCCTGAGGCCGGTGTGCCACCTGGAGCTGACGCTTTGCTCAGGGGCCTCTCCCGGGGCGGCGGGCCCACCAGGGATGCTGTGGACCCTGGATGCCTGGCAGGGCCACCGAGCGCCCTGACCACAGGCTGGAGGTAGGATGGGGAGCAGCTCCATGGGCCTCGCCAGCAGGGCTCTCAGGAGAGGCCTGACCTTTGGCAGGAGGGTTGGGGGAGAGGCGGGGGCAGACTGGGTCCTCAGCTGGGTGCCAGCAACCCTGAGGCTCCTATAGGTCCTCTGAGGGGATCAGCATCCGCTTCTCTATGTTTCGGCTCTTCCTGCCCCCGCCAGAGCCGCCAGCCGAGTCCGGGTGGGTGCCAGGTGAGGGGTGCCCACCCTGGCTGGGCCTGGGAGTCTCGTGCGTGGCCTGCTGCGTGTAGTGCTGGTAGGCGGGTGAAAAGTTGTGGATGGCATCTTGCACGATGTCCTGGGGGCTGATGGTCTCCCTGAGGCTGCTGGAGATGCTCTGCATGGGCGCTGGGGGGCCTGGGGTGGGGGGCAGCATGTGAACACCCCCCTACACCCCATCCCACGGCATGGCCCCTTGGCCCCGTCTCCCCAGTCTGCGTGGTGCATCTGCCCCCACTGGCCTTGGGCTGCAGCTCCTGCATGTCCAGGTCTGGCCGAGGTCAGCAGAGGGTGGTCCTCAGCTCATCTCGCCCACCCTAGCCCTGGGGCCTGTCCCTGCCCAGACCCCTGCCAGTGGCCATGTCCCCCTGGAGTTGCTGAGGTGCTAGAAAGGGGCCTTGGGCTGGGCGGGGTGAGCCCTGCAAACCTTCAGCCACCCCAAAAGGTCCATCACTGGGATACCAGACTCTGCCTGCCACTGGGGCTGGTCCCAGTGTCAGTGTGGGGCAGGGCACGCCCAGCTGGGGGCACTGATCCCCTGCCACTGGAGGGGCCCTCGGGCCTCTGTCCCACCAGAGCTCCAGCTCACTCAGGGCTCAAGCCTCTGCCCGCCCGGCCCCTGCTAGCTGGCCTGGGCCACACACAGATGAAGTGCCCGTCCTGAGCCAAACGCCCTTGGATGTCTCCCTGCCCAGCCCGGTGACATTCCGGGGCCTCCTGTGTGGGAGGGACACAGCCCTGGTACCGAGGGCAGGGCTGTGATGTTCCAGGTGCCCCTGCTGGAGGGCCCAGCATACCTGGTGAGTTCTCCTTCTTCTCCGAGTACACCTGGCAGGTGAAGGCGTAGCGCAAGGCGATGGAGGCAAAAAGCATCTCGATGCAGATGATGAAGTTCTGGTAGCCAGCGGCCAGCGTGCCGGTCCCCACCGTGCTCCCGTCCAAGGTCTGGACCTCGGCGAAGACCCCGCACCTCTCCAGGATGGCCAGCAGCATCCCTGAGGATAGTGGTGGCCACTCAGGCACCAGCTCTGGACAGGAGGCTGGGCTGAGCCGACCCCCACCAAGGCCTCCACCAAGGCTGGCTTGGGGGTTTGCAGGGGAGGAAGAGGCGCAGAGGGCAGGCATCCCCACAGGCAGGGTCTTGGCTGTGCTCGACCCCAGTCGGGGGCCCCAGCTCCCGGCTGGAGGTCGTCCTCCTCTGCAAATGGGGGCCAGCTGCCCATGGCCTGGTGGGGACGAGGACTCAGGAGACGCTGGCGTGGCCCTCTGCACCTCTCTCCACTGACTGTGGGGCCACGCAACCTGGTTGGGACCTCCCCACTTCCCCTGCGCCCGGGCACTTTGCTGGCTTCACACTGAGAAGGCCGTGTTACTACAGCTGGGGAAACCAAGGCACGCAGGAACTGGGGATGCAGGTTCTCTGGACTCCAGCCCCTGCTTTGGCAGGCCCGCCCCCCCACCTGGCCCCACACACCCTGCCAGAAAGACAGGAAGATGACGGCTTTGATGGTGAGGAACTTCAGGAGGGGCTCGAAGGGCTGCAGGAGTTCCCTGGTGGCGAAGTAGAAGAGGAACAGGGCGTAGAGGGCCAGGCTGACTGAGGCGTTGTAGACGAGGGTCACGTACAGGTAGCCGCTGTGGACACTGGGCCAGGGAGGGGCCGTGGTCAGGTGGCCGGTGTCCCTGCGCCTTCTGCTCCCTGCTCGCCCCAGAGCCGCTGAGCCTGGGCCCCTCTGCAGCTGAGCCAGGACCTTCCCCAGGGCCTGCAAGGGAGCGGCTGAGGGGCTAGGTGGGCACAGGTGGGCCTCAGGGAGCCCTCGCTGAGCCCTGTGCGGCCCTCTCCCTCCTTGTGCCAGGACCCTGTCCTCTCTAAGGAGTGACCCCTGTCACCCTGTCAGAAAGCCGGCCCCAACCTCTGTCACACGCGTGTGTGCATGTGTATGAATGCGCGTGTGTGATGCCTGCAGGTGTGTGTGTGAGAGTGTACACCTGGTGCAGGGCTCCTTCCTGTGCAGGGGCACTGCCCACCTGCTCGGCCAGCAGGTCAGGGTGGACCTTGGCCCTCTGGGCTGTGCACCCTGAAATCCAACCCCTGTTCTCCTCGGGGTCCACTGCATGGGGGTCTGGGGCCGTCACTGCCTGGGCTGTGCAGCCCTGGGGTCCTTGGCACGCTCGCTGGGACAGGGCCTCACCCTGAAGTTTCCCCGGAGGAGGGGGAGGCCCAGGGTCTTGGCCTTTGCTGACATTGGGGTCCTTGTCATTAGGACTTGGTCCCTTGCTCAGCTGGAGCCTGTGCCCCGCCTTGGGTGGCCCGCTAGGCCCCTCCTCCTGCACCCGGCCTTACCTGAAGTCCCCATCACTGTATTTGCCGAATGCCTGGAGGCAGATGGTGACCAAGGCCATGACGGGCTTCACAACGCAGAACTGCAGCGTGGCCTGGGGGATGGGGGGCAGGAGTGAGGGCAGGCACGGTGCACGCTGGGCAGGCGGGCAAAGGTGTGGCCATCCGCCCTGGTGGGTGGTGGGGCTGGAAGGCCTGGCGGGTGGCCCCACTTACCTGCTTGCAGAATCGCAGGAACCCAATGGAGTAGGACATGCCCTGGAGGCAGCAGGTGCCGTAGAAGCAGCTGGACCTGAGGGTGGGGCAGTCCCTGAGGCAGGGCGTGGAGGACGTGGTCCCGGCGCCAGCCTGGCCGCCCCGTCCTGGGTGTGCAAGGCATTGGTGGGGGCCCTGGGGCGAGGGGCTTACTTGATGGGCTTTCCCCGGATCTCAGCCATGATGGCACTCTCGCCCCCCAGGTACTGGAAACAGAGGCTCAGGAAGCTGTAAATGACAAAGGCTGCGGGGGTCGGAGGGGGTGAGCCCTACACAGAGGCTCCTGCCAGACCCACCCCGGACTCCATGGGGCCCATTTCACGGGGCTCCACACACCGGTCTGGCCACTCCCGCCCAAGCTCTGGCAGTCCCCCTGCAACCCCTCCCCAGGGCCTGCCAGCGATGCCGATCCCAGCCATGGGGGGCAGAAGGGGGTGGCCACGCGTGTTGTGTGCAGGCCCCTGGGAGTCCCCAGTTGGCTCAGCCTGCCGCCCAGCCGCCCAGCCGTTCACCTTCGTAGCAGTCCCGCACGGAGTCCAAGTAGATGTAGTACTCGTGGCCTCCCAGGAGGAGGAGGCTGAGCCAGGAGTCCAGTGCGTAGATGGGCACAATGAGGAGCAGGCGGATGATGTAGCGCTGCTCCTGGGGCACGACGTAGGAGCGCAGGTGCAGGTAGATCTGGGGGCGGAAGTGGGGGTGGGGCTGCGGGCCACCAGCTACCTCCCATTTTCCTAGCTTTTCCTACATTTTCCACTTTTCTACAATGAGCACGCTTACTATAATGAGAGACAATAAACATTATTGCTTTGTAATCAAACACATGTTTATATATTTCATATATAAGTATGTAAATATGGATTTCTGATTACAACAAAATAATACGTATTTTTAAAAATTTATTTATTTATTTTTAGAGACAGTATCTCACTCTGTTGCCCAGGCTGGCCTTGAACTCCTGGCCTTAAACGATCCTCCCTCCTCGGCCTCCCAGAGTGCTGGGTTTGCAGACGTGAGCCACTTCCCCCAGCAAAATTTATTTATTTATTTATTTATTTTTGAGACAGAGTCTCACTCTCTTGCCTGGACTAGAGTGCCGTGGCGTCAGCCTAGCTCACAGCAACCTCAAACTCCTGGGCTCAAGCGATCCTCCTGCCTCAGCCTCCCAGGTAGCTGGGATCACAGGCACGTGCCACCATGCCTGGCTAATTTTTTCTATTTTTAGTTGTTTGGCCAATTTCTTTCTATTTTTAGTAGAGACGGGGTCTCGTTCTTGCTCAGGCTGGTCTCGAACTCCAGAGCTCAAACGATCCGCCCGCCTCGGCCTCCCAGAGTGCTAGGATTACAGGCGTGAGCCATCGCACCCGGCCAAAATTTATTTTTTAATCGACAAAAATTGTATGCGTTTATGGTGTACAACGTGACGTTCTGATACACATATTCTCTGGGGAACGGTTAATCAAACCTACTAACATCTCCACTTCGTCACATACTTACCTGTTTCTTGTGGCAAGAACATTTCACATCTGCTCTCCCAGCAGCTGTCACGCGCACCACACATCGTTACTTGTGACAATCACTGTGCTGTTCAACAGACCTTTTTTTTTTCTTTTCGGGAAATAACTTCCTTGGGCATGAGATAACCCCAACCCACCCCGGCTCCGTTTGTTCTTCGTGAATGCTCAGGCAGTGGGCTCACTCACTCATTCACACATTCATTCATTCATTCAGCAAGAATCTCTGAGGCTGCAAAGTTCAGACCTGGGGAGGGAGAGGGTGCGTCACGGCGCCGGGCCAGCACAGAGACTCTGGGAGTCGGTTTGGCTTTCGTCCCGGGGACATTAGAAGGACTTATACCCTTTGCCTCCTCCTAGTAGCAAATCTTCCCAGAGATAAGGGAAAAGGTTTGTGTACAAGGATGTTCATCACAGGGACACACAGTGACCGACCATCAGGGTCACTGTGAGGGCTGGGCTGGTCACACTGCAGCGTGACCGTGCAAAGGGATCTTATACAGCCAGTGACAAGGACGCTCAAAGAACATGGCCGCGTGGGGAGATGCTCTGCTAGAGTGCAGCATCTAAAATCACGAGGGCGGACCAAGTAGGAGCTCAAATATGGTAAAAACGCCTGGCAAAAATGCATCGCTGTGCTACCCCTGGGCAGTGGGAAAATACGGGTGGTCATAGTTTTTGCCTTTAAGTCTTTGTAGATCTCCCATGTTTTCTACACGAACACGACAAAACAACAGGGTCTTTAAAGGAAGCAGGGGGCTGTTGTCCCGGCCCGGGGTGCTGGGGGGAAGGCTTCCTGGAGGAGATGCTGTGAGTGGAGGCGGGTGGAGGGCAGGCTGCACAGAGGGAGCCGCGTGTGCAGAGCCACGTGCCCCCTGGGGCATGGCTTGGGGACTGGGCAGGCTGGCGTCAGGGACCGGCTCTTTATCAGGTGCACACTCCCCCCGCCCTGGTGCAGGGGACGGCCTGGCACGATCAGGCACCAGGAGACCTCTCCCGGGGCTGGCACCGCCGAGCTGGGCGACCTAGGCAAGCCACTGTCCTCTTTGGCCTTGGTCCCCAGCAGTAAGGTGAGGGCGCCGAGCCCCTCTCTGTCCCCATCTTGGGCTCCTTGTGCAAGGGTGGGTTTGGTGGTGGGCTTGGGGGTTGAAGCTGCAGCCCAAGCAAACTCCACGAGCTCTGTCCTGACTGCAAGATCCCCAGGAAACCAGGCTGCTGCCACCCACAGCTGGTCTCCAGGTTTGCAGCTCAAACACTGCCTCCTCCGGGATGTCCTCCCTGATGGCCTAACAGGAGGGGCCTGCCTCTGAACTCCCTGGGTGGCTCTGTACTCTGCCCGGCCTGTCCTCACAGGCGTCTACCTGGTGTTCTGGCTGTTTGAGGCTACACCCGGGCAGTCTGCTGACTGCCCCGCCCCTGGCTCACCTGCCAACCCACCCCCACCCCAGGGCCAGGTGAACCACCCTACAGGGCAGCTCCGAGAGCAGCTTGTCCCTCCACAGCCCTCCTTGGCCCCTCAGTGCCTCCTCACTCCAGGCCGCAGGCCGATTCCTCGAGCTGCCATTCAGGGCTGTGGCCCCTCACAACCTGTGCACGAGCTCCTCTGCCCCACCCCTGCTTAAGGCGTCTCCTGGTGGTCTCTGAGAGCTTCATGGCTGTCCGCCCTCACCCCACACTTGGGGACTGCTCTGGGCCAGGGGCTATTGTGGCTCGGGGCTTGGGAAAGTTGCTTTGCACGAGAGGAGGCTGAGGGGAGCCACCCCTTCTGGAGTCCTAGCTCCTCCAGCCCAGCTCCCACCTTGCTCCCGCTCCGGCTGGCGGCTCCCTGCAGGGCAAAGTCCAAACCCTGCCAACCCTCCCCAGGACCCACGCCTCTGCAGGAAGAAGGCCCTCTCCCCTCTGGCTGTGTGAGCTGGGAAGGACTGTGGGTCTCTCTGAGCCTCAGTCTCCCTGTCTATGAAATGGGCCATGCTGCCGCCCTCAGTGCCCAGGGTGGGGAGGACGACTTGGCCTGGGAGGTACCCGACTCCCACACGCCATGTCCTGGGGAAAGCCTGTGCCCTCCGCCTGCACCCTGGCCTGACGTCACCTCTCAGGGCCCCCGGGCACTATTCCTCCCGCCCAGTTGGGCCTCCCGTGTCCGGACCGAGGGCCACTCCTTGAGGTCCTCCGACCCCAGCAGCACCCGTGGGGCCGGGCTGAGCTGCAGCCATGTCCTGGGAGACAGGGGTCTAGAAGGAGGCCCAGGGGCGGTAGGGCTTACCTGGTGGCAGGTGAGAACAAGGGCGGCCCACACAAAGACGCCGGAGACCCCGCGGGCCAGTGCGGAAGTAAGGAACAGTTGGGGGACACCCTGGGAGCTGTTCCCCACGTGGTCCACCTGCAGCCCGGCTGGCAGGGCCGGTGAGGGCCTGGGCTGTGGCCAGGTTGTTGCTCTCAGGGGCACGCCGGCCGTCCCCAGGAGCTCCGAGGCGTTACGCATCTGCAGAGGCAGGGAGGACAGGACAGTGTGGAGGGCAAAGGTGAGGGCCCCAGGGAGGAACTGGTGCAAGGGCGGGGTGAGGCCGGGGGTCGCCAGAAGTGAGCTCCACCAGCCATGCCCACCAGTAAGACCAGCCCAGGGCCTGGCTTCCTCCCACCTGGGGCTTGGCCACGTGTGACTTGGGTGGTTCCACTTCACTTTCCTTCTCTGATGCCCTGGGCTTGGGGGCAGCTTGCTTTTTAGGGGTCAGAGACTGTCCTCCAGCTGGATCCGAGAAAGTGGGGAGCCCCTTGTCCTGACTGCCAGGGGAGTAGCCTGTAAGGCACGGCCTCAGCAGTCCCTGCCCTGCTCCCACCTGCCCAGCACCCGCCGGCTCCCTTGCACCTGCCCGCCCGTCGGGGCCCTGCTGCCAGGTCCCTCGGCCGCCCCGTGCCTGCTCCCGGTCTCTGGCTGACCTGCCGGGCACTGGGTCTGTCCCTCTCCCACACTGGGAGCCTGTCCAGCCTCCTTCCCTCCCTCTGGCCTGCGTCACCGTCCCAGCACCTACCCCTGCAGGCAGGAAGCTCCTCCGCCCAGGCCTGGGAGGCCCAGCCTCCGGGGACGCCTGGCTGGTCATTCTCAAGGCCACGTGGCCCCCACTGGCGCCCTGCTGTGGGTGGGGCAAGGCCGCTATCTGAATGGCTGTGCCGGGCGGAGTGGGATGGCTGCCTCCCCAGCAGCCCACCTGAGCTCCCGGCTTCAGGGAGGGAAGGGGAGGGGCAGGGGAGCAAAGGCCTGTCCCCTCCTGGTCCACTCTATCCCTCCTTCCTGTCTGCTCCATGGCAGCTGGCGCCCAGGAACCTGCTGGCCACCAGGTGCCCTCACCTGCCTGCATCAGGTGGCCTGGCAGCTGCGGCGTGTGGGCGGGGCCTGCGGTGGGCCCTGGAGGGCCGTGTGGGGGTGGGGGGGAGCGGTGGTGAGCTAATGGTGCAGGATGTCTTTTTGAGGGGCAGAGGGGGTAGGCGTACAGCACTGTGAGTGTGCTCACTGCCACCGAATTATTCACTTAAAAGAGGTCAATTTATGTTATGCAAATGTCCCCTGAATTAAAAAGAAAGTCCAAGCCCCAAGAACCATATTGGAAACATTTCTGGTTTTGTGGGGGGATGTGCAGGGAGTGACAGCCTGATTGTCACCCCTGTGCCAGGGGCCCCTGCGGAGAGAGGCTCATCAGGCCCTGGCTTGGGAGGGGCGGTGGGGCCCTCAGCTCCTGCCCACCCACACTGTGGGCCTCCCGGGAGGCCCTGACCTGGGACAAGCTTGGGAAGTGGTGCCTGCCTCACCCCACACCTGGAGTGCTGCCTGTTCCCTTGCCTAGGACCTTCTGTACCGACTTTTCTCCCAGGTGATGCCTTGTTCCACAGTCTCAGGTGTCACCTCTGGAAAGAATGTTCCCTCTGTCCCATCACCCTCTTTAAATTTCAGCTGCGACTCCCTGTGCGCCTGACCGTGTTTGCCGTCTGCCTTCCCACTATGGGAGCTTCCAGAATGTGATGCCGGGCCCCAGTCTGTGCTGGGGCTCGCTGAACACCTGTCCTGCCCTGTGGGTGGCCCTTTGGCCATGGTCCCCCACTTGGCCCAGGCAGGGGTGTGCAAGGTGGTCTGCAACACCTGCAGCCAAGGTGAGTTCCTACTGTGCGCAAGATGCTCACCCCGAAGCCCCCTGCCCAGCCCCGCCCGCTGCACCCATGACCTGCAGAAGCACTGGCCCACTGTGTGGGGTCAGCGCTCTCTGGCCTTGGACGCCCACGTCACCACTACGAACAGTTATGAAGACAAGCACCATCACTGCCCATGAGTGACAATGGCTTGTGACTTTGAAAGGTGAAGATGTCAACGTTGGCACGTGAGCAGAGCTGGAAGGGACCAGGAATCACCTTGTCCAGCCCACTCATACTATATATAAGTGGGGAAACTGAGGCCCTGGCCCTCAGCACAACATGAGGCCATGTTCCCTGGTAGCTCCCTGCCCTGCCCTTGGCCCAGGGCCACATGCCACACACCTCTGAGCACCGAGATCCTTCCCGGGCTGATGTCGGGAATGACTGAGGGCATAGCAGGAAGCACTGTGGCCAGATGTCAGAAGGACTTCCCTGGCTGGAGCCACCAGGGCCAGGCTTCTGGGAGGGCTCTGAGGGGCTCTGACTTTGCAGACCCTCAGGGCTTGGGCCCTAGACACAGACCAAAGGCTTTTCGAAGCTCAGACCTTTCTTCAGAGGCAGATCCCACTGTGGGCAAAGGCAGCGCTTTCTGGCAAGGCCAGGGGGGCCTGGTGACCTTCTTGGCCCACAGCTCTGCCAGCAACGAGTGTGGGCAAAGGGGCTTTGGCATCAGCCTGAGCTGGCTCATGGCCCCCGAGGGTCCCCGATCCTTGGAAGCCCGTTCAACCAGGGCTACCCCTCGGCTCTGGTGGTAGAGGCCAGGCCCAGTGTCACAGCTGTTCTCTCAGCTGTCCCACGCTGCCATGTTCTTGTTTAGCCACTGCCCCTAGGAAGGCTTCTAGAGAGTCTGGCTCTGGCCCCAAGTCCCACCCACTCCAGAACCTCCTGCACACTCTGGGGAAATGACTTTGCCTCACAAGACAGATTTGGCTACACCCCACTTCCTCCCAGCACTGGGTCTGGTAGGCATTTTACAAACCCGGGGCTCTGGGAGCCTCCTGCCCTCTCTACCCAGTCTTTCTTCTCTGGCTTCCTGACTGAGTCACTCCCAGAGGCAGCCTCAGCCCTCAGCCCTTTGTCCTGCCCATGGCCTTGGCCACCTTGGCAATCTCTTTGCCTCTCTGGGCCTCTGTTTTCTCACCTGTAGAATGGGTTTAGAATCCAAGGCCTCCCCAATGCAGGAGCTGGTGAATGTTGGCCTGCCTGTCCCTCCTCCAGGCCACACTCTGCACCGGCCGGCATCTGCCTCCCGCCCCACTGCCTCGCCCACCAGGCTCTGCCCTATCACACATGCCAGGCACTACCAGGCTTTCTGCCAAATCCCTGTCCAATAGGCTCCGACCCTTCAGCAAGGCAAACTGTTTGGGATCCTGGGTGTGAAGCCCAGCTCTGCCATTCCCCAGTGCATGTCCCTGGGCCTCGTCGTCCCCACCTGTAACGTGAAAGCAGCAATCCCTGAGTGGACACAGTGAGACACACAACACGTGCACACACCAGATGCTGAGCAAGCACTGGCTTTCCTCTCTCCTACCTCCCGGGCACGCAAGTCCTCTGCTTCCTGAGTCCCCTAGGATGGGTCCTGCCCTCACCCCTCTGGCTCTGAGCTGGTTCTGCCCCCGCTGGGGTCTGTGGGTCCAGGGTCTCCCCAGCAGGAGCCTAGACTCTCCAAGGCCTGGACTGCATTGCCCTTTCCTTGGCCCCCAGGCCTAGCCCATTCTAGGACAGGAAGGACACCCTAAGTGGGCCAGGGTCCCAGGTAGTGCCTAGTCCCCTGCCTCCCCCTCCCTGGAAGGCCCTGGTACCAAGTCCCATGGAGACTTTGTGGGGGCCTGGCTGGGGCCCTTCTCACCCCAAGCTGCTTCTATGTTGGATATCTGCAGGGGCAGCCACACGTGCAGAGGGTGGATCTGTTAGCCCCATTTCACAGATGAGGAAACTGACGCTCAAGGAAGTGACTCCCTGAGGAGGGTCCCACGGCTCATGGGGGGACGAGGGAGGATGGGCTGCTGCCCCGAGGTTGAGGCCGAGGCAGGCCCCGCAGGTGAGCAACCTGCCTAGTGGGCATCAGAGCCCAGCACAAAGCCAAGCCACAAAGTTGAGCCTCACTCTGGCCTCAGAGGCAGGGCAGAGCCAGGCCAGGACTCAATGTTATGTCCCTGTCCCTCCTGGCCAACACTGGCCCCACCAGCCACAGCTGACATCTGCCCAGGTCTGGAGGTGTGGGTTGTGCCTGACCAAGCCCTTCACGTGACCTGGGGCCCTGAAACAGAATCCCCTACTCCTGTCCTGTGCCAGGAGCGGACCCACGTCACGGCGCCGAGGCTGCAGGCTCCCCACAGGATGGCCCTGGCTGAGAGCCCACTCGCTGTTTGCTGTGGACACTGTCAGGCGGTGCAGACCCCTTCCCCACTCCCAGCGGGGCTGCGGAGGGTGTGTTGGGGAGGCTGGGCTTCCACCGCACACACTCGGTGTGGGTTTGGCAAGCAGGTCCCTGCCATCGTGGGGGCCTGTGACAACCTGCCCTGGGGTGGGGGAGGGCTCATCGCCCCCCTGCAGGACCTTGCGCCAGGTGTGGCCCTATGGTGGGAGGCAGGAGCCAGGCTGTACCAAGCTCTGGCAGTGGACCCACGGGTCAGGACCAGGGTCTCCAGGGAGGGGCAGGTGAGAGGCTGGCCCTTCTGCCACCGCTCATGGGCTCGCTCTCCACTCACGAGAGGCAGCAGGGCCAGCCAGGCCTGATTTCCCTGGCCGGGGCTGGATGCTAACCCAGCCCATGCAGGACAGACCTGCCTGCCCAGGTACCTCTGGCCATTGTCCACTGTGACCAGAAGACCAGGCTCCTGGAGCTCCCAGCAAGCCCCAGCTGAGAAGCTGCCTGGCCAGTCCCAAACCTCCATGCCCTCGTCTCTTTTGCCATGGCCCTGGCACAGCTGCCCACCCTTCAAGCCAGTGCCAGCCCCTCCCAGACTGCCTACCCTGCCTGACAGAGCCTGGGGTAGGGGCCAGGCCTCCCCTCTGCCTCCCCGCCTCCACTGCTGGGCCTGAGAGCTGTATTCCCTGGATCTGCTAGGGCAGCATCCCCTGCCCAGCTGCACCACCAGGTGGGACATGCTTGGGGCCTGCAGAGGGGACTGGGAGGTGGCAGACCTCGACACCCGGCTTCCCCAAGCCAGCCCCACCAGCTCCTCTGTCTCCCCTTGAGGCCCCTCCCCTCCCCAGCGAAGTGCCAGGCAGCATTTGCCAAAGCAACAACCCTGTCTCGACTAACACCCACCACCCAGGTGTGGGCACGTGGGTGCCTGGAACCCTGGGAGCAAGGCCGTGACCCCACACACAGGAGTGGAGGGAGCAGGGGTGCAGTGGCCAGGCCATGGGGCTCCCTGTCCCCCAGTATTACCCTGTGGGTCAAGGCAGGCCTGGATACCACATCAGTCCAGCCACTGCCCTCCCTGGAGATGCTGGAGCCACTTATCCCTCCCTTGGCCACCTCCCAGCTCTAGTTCGGTCCCTATCCACGTGCACACCTTCCTGGGAGCCAAGTCCCATGTCCCAGCGGGCAGGCAGCATTGCCTCCTGGTGGCCACGATTCCCGCTCCTCGCCTGGGACAGAAGCAGCCCTCTGGGTCAGACATGCTGGTGAGGGCCCCTGGCTCTGGCCTCCCACGGTGTCTGTGACCCCGGGCAAACCCTGCTCCAACCTGTGCCTCAGTTTCACTGGCAATCTGAATCCGTGTGTGCCGTGTCCGGGCCAGGCATTCCGAGCAGGGACTCAGGCTGGCCTCCCTGTCACCTGCCCTTCTCGGGGGCTGCAGGCTGTTGCAGCACCGGGAGTGCCCACCCTCCCGGCTGGGTCCCCGGGACTCGGAGTCAGCCTGGAGTCCCAGCACAAGTGTAGGTGGCCCTCCTCTCAGCTTCTGGCGCTCGCTAACCCTGTGCCTGT